AAAAAAAAAAAAAAAAAAAAAAAAGAAAAAAGAATGTTGTCAAGTAATGTATTTTAAGTTTGAATATGGAGATGTTGTAACATAGAGGAAATGTGAGGGGCACATGTGAAAAAAATGGGGAAAATACTGAGGAAGTATTTGGAAATCAAAACAGAGTTCTACTTTGTGTTGTTGTGTCTGTGTTGTGTTTTATTTTCTGTTGAGCATGATTTCCTATGTGTTTATGTCCCACATGTTGGAAAAATCAGTTATAAAACTTGGGTTTGACTCGGTTTTGACTGAATTTTTTTATGGCTAAATATTTAATTTGAGTTGAATTAAATATTGTAGAAAAATTCTACGTTCCGAGTAGATACTCGTGGTATATTTATTTTCTCAAAACTGGTTTTCGGTGAGTGAGAAATAAATTGTTAATGTTAGCCATTAAAGGGCATGTAAAACGTTGGTTGTGGATTTGAAGGGTCAAGAGTCATTCCCACATTGAATTCTTAATTGAGATTAACTCTCTTTATTATAATAAAGAGATTTTGAGAGGTTACAACAAGCACAAAGCAATGCACCAAGTGTTGGTGTTGTTTTCGGCCACGCGCGTGCGCCTGCCGGCCAGCTGGGGCCCGGGCGACTTTGGGCTGGACTTGGGCGGCCTTGGGCGGTTGGGCTTGGGCCCAAATGATATATATATATTTTTGTTGCAAATGTATTTCCAATTTTAGGCCCAACTGAGAAATCCAAATCAAGTTGGACTTGGACTCGGGGTTTTGACCCAACCCGAATGAGACCTCTCATCTGGACACCTGACTTTTCATGTGAAATGTAACAGCTCAGGTGGGGTGATAATGGTGTTGATTCCAGTTAATAGTGTTAACTTCTGGCTAATGGTGTATTAACACCTGAAAACGTTTTGCCCATTATCTCTGCCTTAAGTGGCAGATGTGACTATTGTTTTCCCTCAAGACATGGAAGTCCTATAAATAGGACTTAGAGCTGCAGAGAAATATACACACAACATTGCCTGCATTCTGAATACTCTCAAAGCCTCACGCATCATATCAAAGTGCTCTGTTCTAAGCTACATTCCAGTTCGCCGGAACTCTGAAGATTGATGTGCTACATCTTTCGAGTGTTATAGCCGTTGTATCTTTGGGGACATTACGCACAGATCCGTCAGCACTATACGGGCGTATTTGTCTTGCGGAAAGATTTCAATCGCCTCGACTTTAAGTCTATCCGCATTCGAGTTGTAATTTTTATTTTGCTTTAGTTCTTCTAGTACGAATTGAACACTTCAGTCAGTTCATATGTTCCCGTTGTAATTCAAAACACATTATTGTGTAACACCACATTGAAGAAGAGAATCCAACCATTGTCCCAAAAAACATAACCTTATATAGTGGATGTTTTGCAGATAGTTTAAAAGAAAGGACAAATTTTTAAGCTTAATCGTGTGTAGAACTATTACACGAAACGAGTGGAGTTCATTTAAAGTTCATTAAGGCTCGAAAGTAGAGATTTTACGTAGTTTTCTATAGCTTGGCTCGTTAGAGTTCGAGCTTGTATATTGGTTCAGTTCGTTAACGAGCGAGATCGACTTAGCTCGGCTCGAACTCAGCCGACTCATTAAGGCTCGAGCTTGGCCGGCTCGAACTCAGCCGGCTCATTAAGGCTCGAGCTTGGCCGGCTCATTTGATACACGAGCCGAGCTCGAGCTCACTTAAAGCTCGTTTTGATAGCGATCAGGGCTCGACTTGGCTCGATAAGATTTGAAGAGAGAATTCTTAAATAATTTTCTACTGTTCGACTCATTAATATTGATAAAAAACTGAACTCGAGCTAGATGTCTGTCTCATTTATGTAATGAACCGAAACTCGACTCATTAAGGGTTCCAGCTCAGCTCAGCTCGTGAACAACTCTATACACAGCCAAAATATACAACAAAAGCAAAACTTAAACAGCGAGAATTTGCGATAGACGGAACATAATTTCTTTAAGAATCATATCTTTTCTTAAATTAGAAAATAAACAGTCCACATTATTATTTTTATTTCCTTATTAAAATATTATGTCACATTCTTGGACAAAGTAACACTTTCCTTTTGAACTTTAAATTTCAATTCAGTTCTAAAACATCAAATAAAAGAAATCCCATATTCTCATCAAACTTTATTTAGAGTTCGTTTTGTAACTCTAAAAAGTAAAAACAATATACATAATTAATCTTTTTTCCTTTTTGGAATTATCAATAAACAAAAAACTCACTAACTAGGCGTACAATTAATAGAAGATAATACTGTCTCGTTACGGAATGAAGTTTGTAAACGTTAGATCATCATGTAAACGTCCAAATACTTGATTTAACTGTCACAAACTTCGATAGTATGATTCTGTAACGGGACCATAATATTTTCTGTATTAATACCAAAAAAAGAAAAAAACTAAAAATTGCACCAACTTGCCATGCTCAACCACCGCATTTCCACGGCGGAGCACCGCCGCTAGCCGAAATCCACAGACTACAAACACACACAAGTCAAAAAAAGAAGAAAAAATTTACAGAACCTTATGCGCCTTTTCACTTTCCACCGGCGCACAAAACCTCATTTCAAGCCAAAACCCACTGACAGTCACGAGCACAGTCCACCACCTTTCCCTTCTCCCATCTCATTCTCCATAGCTAAACCTGCTCGAGAAGAAACCTCAACCTCAAGCTCACAAAAGGTGAAGAAGATCAATAAAATAGTGCAAATAATCAACAGAAAGAAACCCCATTTTTCCACAAGCCATCTTCTTGCAGAAAAAAGAAAAAGGAAACCCCACCAAGAAAATATTCTTTCCTTTTGCCCCTTTCGCGAACATAAAAAGCCCACCTTTTTGACAAACCCATTTGTTAATTTGTCCTTCTCTCTTAACATTTTCATTTATATCGTTGCTTTTCTGAAGTTCTCGAAGAGGAAAAAAA